TCACATGTTGAGGAAGCCAGATGAGGAAACCCATTTGAATGTTCCGTTTAATGGCGAATATTCATAGGTAGAAAAGCGTTGATGTTGTAGCCTCATGGAAGATGCATTCAGGAAGACAGGATACAGTGGAATGATTACAGAGAGAGGCAGGGAGTATGCAAGTACGAAGAGAGAAAGAGCTCAGCTTAGACAGAAGGAGACAGCTTAAAAGACATAGAGCAATGATAAACAAGTGATGGTCACAGAGAAATTATAATAAATCAAATAGTGTAACACAACAGAGCAATTTAAGGTAGTGAATTAATATCCTCTTTTGCCTCAGTTCACACTGTTTTTCAGACGTTTGGCTATCATTCATTTTTTACCACACCTTATCTATTTATCTCTAAGATCTTAAAGTTTTACCAAGGTCTACTGCCCCGTACATACAATCAATTTTTTTTAATTCAATCCAGTGGGCTGAATGAAAAAAAAATCTGACAGATTGCTGTACTAACAGAAGTGATGTTAGTGGTGCAGGGGAGCCATAGGCTCAGTCAAAGTTCTGTGAGGAGGGAGTGTGGGCGTGGCTTACTGGCATAAGCAGCTCATCCACTCCCTCATCATATCACGACTCGATTACTGCAACTCCCTCCTCACTGGCCTGCCTCGCCACAGGCTATCCCCGCTTCAGTCTTTCCTGAACTCAGCGGCCAGACTCATCACCTTACCAACCGCTCTGTTTCCGCCACCCCCCCCCTCTGCCAATCCCTCCACTGGCTTCCAATTGCCCAACGGATCAAATTCAAAATCTTAACAATGATGTACAAAGCTGTCCATCATATTGCCCCAAATTATATCACCGACCTACTATCAAAATACCACCCAAAACGCACTCTCTGCTCCTCACAAGACCTCCGTCTCTCTAGTTCCCTGGTATCCTCCTCCCATGCCCGCCTCCAGGACTTCTCCAGGGTGTCACCTATCCTCTGGAACTCCCTACCCCAATCCATCAGACTATCATCTACTCTCCTCTCCTTTAGGCACACCCTGAAAACCCACCTCTTCAGGGAAGCCTACCCCACCCCCCTGCTAATTGCCGACCTCCTCCACTCTTCCTACCACTCCATCCCCCACAGCTTTTCCTCCTGTACCACTATCCCCTCCCTCCTAGATTGTAAGCTCCAAGGAGCAGGGCCCTCGAACCCCTCGTGTATCGCATTGTATTGTTATTGTACTGTCGCATGTATTGTCTTCCATTGTAATGTACAGCGCTGAGCGAACTGTTGGCACTTTATAAATACTGTATAATAATAATAATAATAATAAATTGTGTGTGTCTGTGGATGCACACTGCCCAGCTTGGTAGCGCGCACACACAAATGCTTCCTTAGCACCTAGAGGCACCCAAAGGACGGAGCAGCTGACAACACTGGCAAGGACTGCCAGAAGAGGAGGCAAGTGGCCTTTCTGTGCAATATTGTTGCACAGAGCAGAAAAGTACATCTTAAAAAAAACTGTGCCTTTAGTATCACTTCAAAGGATAAGTTCACATTTTGAATATTTTATATGCTACACCTGTATTTAGGGTAAGAAGACACCCCTCTCTCCACCTTAGCCTATTCTTCCCTGGGAAAGCAGGCTGTCACCTTTGAAAATGGTGTGGCTGTGCAGGGCTTGCCAGCACAGTCATATCATTCATTCACAGGGATCAGTGAATGAATAAACTAAAAGTCCGGTCTGCCACCATGGTAGACTACTTGTAGCTCTCAAAGAACTGTGAGCATGCTGATCAGTGTGCTCGTAGTCCATTCATATTTCCTGCAGCTCTGAAGATGACAGACCATACAGAGGTTTGGGTCCAGAGCTGTAGGCAGTGTCTGCAGGAGCCTGATAAGCTGATCGCGGGCGACATATTTTGCAGGCTCCTGTAGAAAAAATAATAATTGCACATGTTTTTTTAACCTGAAAAAACATTTATTTTTTTTTTAGTTAAATGTGAACTTAGCCTTTATTTACAAAGGTGCATAACATGCATTATAAAGCCTGTTTTGTATTCAGTGTTATTTTACCACTACTGGTGCTATTATAACACTACTTTTTATTTTATTGACCCTTATGAGAAAGTCAACATTAAGGTCAATTCAAAAAGATTACCAAACAGGTTATTACTTAAAAAAAACAACTTCAGGCTGGTGTATATGATTTAAATGACAGTGAGCCAGGGTTAGTGTGCAAGGTGTTAACTACTTAGCTCTGTCTAGGGGACTGTAAAAGCAGTTTTACTCATCAGATCCTCCACTCCCTGAGAGGTTGGTGCTCCCCCTCCAGGGGTGGACTTATGGACCACGGCTGTGGGCTCTGGGTCCTGAATCAGTTTTGATGACATCAGGTGACCTTAGATCTCTGGGGTATAGGGGAGAAGAGACTGCAGGGACTGGTGTAGCAGCACAGCCTGAAGGAGCGAAGGATCTGTTTAGCAAAAGTGCTTCACCTAGACATAAATGAGCACTTAATCCTTTCAGAGCAGGCACAGTTCCAGTGCAAGAGGGATTTTTGAGTTTCCTGAAGTTCAGCTTGAAAGTGATATTAAACCTCAGTTTTTAAAGCACTATCAGCAGCTGATTTATTCACTGGGTATGACTCTATTTTAATTCTTGTCCAATGCTCCAGTTTATGCTGATCCATGACCGCTGCCCCAGGTTTTCTGTTTCAGGGTGGCTCCTTTCTCTTACAGCAACCTATGGAGTCACCTCTGCATGCTGGGGGCAGCGTTGTGTCTTTCTACACTGCGTACATCAATAGAAAAACATAATCCCCTAGTCCTGGGGTCTCCAAACTGTGGCCCGCAGATGTGGCCCTTTTCTTGCCTTTATCTGGCCCTCGGTGCACCATTTCTTCCACTGACGCCAACAATGGGGTATTATTTCTCCCACTGACACCAATGATGGGGCACTATTCCTTCCACTAACACTGATGATGGGGCACTATTACACCCACTGACACCAATGATGGGCACTATTCCTCCCACTGATACCAATGATAGGACCCTATTCCTCCCACTGACACCAATGATGGAGCACTATTCCTCCCACTGACACCAATGATGGGGCACTATTCCTCCCACTGATACCAATGATAGGGCACTTTTCCTCCCGCTGACACCAATGATGGAGAGCACTATTCCTCCCACTGACACCAGTGATGTAATTTTTCTACTCCCACTGACCACCAAACATATGGCACTGTTTGCTCTCCCACCGATGCCAGGGCATTTTGTGCTCCCACTGCCAAAGGTTTGGCCCCCCTAAGTTTGAAGGGCAGCAAACTGTCCTTTTGTTTGGAAACATTGGAGACCCCTGCCCTAGCCTATGATGACAAGACACTTGCTCTTCCCTCATCCTCACTTCTTCAAGCTAACAAACTGACTGTTAACCCTTTCCTGAGTGAAGACTGAAAGTTCAGGGAAGCACCACTGAGACAGCAGATGTCATCATGGGGTAAGAATTTTAACAAATAGTTTACCAGGGAATGTTTATTTTCCTGTGTTCTGCTAAAAAATGCTGAGGGTTTAATATTACTTTAACGATTAATGAAACAATAACGCATTCAAATGGTACATGTTGATTTTATGTAGACAAATAAGGATTGCTTAGTTTTAGTGACATTTATGTTTGTGAAGAACATTTTATATGAGAAATAATAAGTAGTGGTGTTAAAATAACTCATTCATCTTATTGAATTGAGACTTATACCAAATAAAAGAACAGTTCATGAAAAAAAATTTGGTTTTTGCAATTCAAGGCAACAAAATAACAAACACTTATGCGCTATTTATGTTTGTGAATTGAAATTTTTAGGAGCAAATAATCATGAGATAAAAAATCATAATGAATTGAACCACACTGTGCAAAAAAAGATCTGAAGTAAAAGTGGGAAGCAATTTGCATCTTTTAGCCTAACGTATTGGTTGCTATGGGGTGACCCAGACAATTTTCTTATGCATTGGTATCTTACGGAGTGACACAGTAAAAAATCCAGACATGATTATTCATCCTGTTACTGCTTGGTGCTCTGCATGCAGCTCACAGGAAGTGGGATAAAATAATGCATATGTATGCATTTTTTTTTTTAGCATTTAGCTTTGACCAGCAGATTGTGTTGCCTCTCCAGGGATCAGCAATAGCTAGCAAGCACTAGTAATCAGTGATCCCTTAACTGCTGCTGTGAATGACTTTCCTGCCTCGTGTTCAAAGCAGAACATAGCAAAAGCAAAATCATTTCTATGAGTGAGCCCTTAGGGTTTAACCTGCACCTGTTCGTTTGTAGACATTTCCTCTAAACTTGGAGTATAACCAGACTACAGTCTGCTACAGACAGATGCTGATGTGCATATATTCAAAGGCAGTAGATGGATTTCACACTGTAAATGTCACTTGTGTTAGACAAGTTATTTTGTAAAATAAGATACCTGCAAATAACAGAAGACTATGAGGATGGGCTATTCATGTCAACATAAAGGGGAAGTATAGCCAATGTTTTTTTTGGCCCAACTTCTCTTGAAGGATCACAGGAGTTCACTTAGTTCTGCACTCCTGTGCCCCAGATTCAGCCAAAGGCAGCTCGCTGTCGGCTAACATCACAGAGCTGGAGCAGGCTCTGCAGGGATCTGGACAAGAAAAACAGGATCCGCCCAGATGCCAGAATGGCAGCTGGCTCAACCTTTTAGCAAGCCACTAGGAGACTGAGCCAGCCGCTCCCCCACTCCCATCCACAGCCTGGCACTGCAATGAGCGCTGGAGGTGGTCAGTCACTGTCTCTCTGCTCACTGAAGGCAGAGAACATGCTGGAGGCATCTAGGTGACTATGTATGTTTGTTTTTTTAAACTCATACTTAGGCTCCATGCACACCTAAAAAAAAGCTAAACCTAAGCTAAAAAAAAGCTGGATAAAAAATGCAGCTAATAGCGTTTTTAGTAGTGTTTTAGTAGCATTCAGAAGCATGAAGGAGCATTAGTGTTTTATTACCCCCTGGTCACATCAAGCCAGGGGTGGACTGACCATTTGGAAACTCGGCACTGCCCGAGGGCCCGGGGTCAGTAAGGGGCCCCATGAGATGCCCCTGGTACCTTTTTCATAGGCTTTTTTGAGTTTAGGCAAGGACATGGGCCCCATGATCCCCTATTGCCCGGGGGCCCATGAGTTGTCAGTCCGCCCCTGCATCAAGCCCGACTTTGAAATCATGCAACTTACAGTGAAGTCGCACGATCGCATGCCAGGTCACACCCGATGTTACCGGGGTGTAAGTGTTTTTTACAGTACATCTAGAGAAAAAAAAGCTAGTAAAAAAGCTGTTAGTAATGTTTATCAGTGCTTTGGGAGCATTTAGCCTTTTTTTATGCTGGAAAAATGCTCCAAAAACTCTACAAAAACTATTTTTTTTTCTGCTCTTAAATGCTAAGCCTTGGTTCAAATACATGTGGTGCGGTATATCACATGTGATTCGCACAGGAACCGCACCACATTCCTGTGCAAACCACATGCAATTTGTGTGCAGTGCGATTGGAGCCATACAATTTTTAGGGTTCTAGTCACACCGCACCCACACCAAAAAGGTGCAGGACCCTTTTTTGGTCCGCCTAGAATAGAATCGCATGGGTATTCTCACCTATGTGATCCAATTCTGCACATCGCACCGCGTTTTTCAGACCGCTTTCGGGATGTTGTTAACATTCACAACCGCATCGGTTTGCATGAATGGCGTGCGATTCTGATGTGGTGCAGAATTTGCACAGAAAACGTTATATATTTATAAACCTGATTAAAAATCACTAATGAAGCAGTTAAGATCAAATTCTCTATTTATTTCCTTGGCAAACAAAGTTTGAAGCTCATGGATCCAATAGGACTCACTTTTACTAAGCTCTCTTATCTTATTACTACCCCTCCAACTCGACATACTTCAACGCCCCAAAAGGTAAAACCTGAGCAATCCTTGTTGTGCACATCCAGAAAATGTCTGGAAACATAATGTTTAGGAAATCCTTTGGAAATATTGCGGACATGTTCTTGGGATTCTATTTTTAAACATTCTTTTGGTGCGTCCAACTTATTGAAGCCCACAAGGGCAGGATAAACCATTTACAACTCCAACTGTGTTGCACGATATAAATTCTTTGATCTGATATGACCTGCCTGTAACAAAACTACTAAAACTCTCCCTTCTTTTTTCGAACACTTCAGCTTGGTGCAGCTCTAACACTGTCCATGCTTTTGGTGAATCACGAATGTCCCAATAAGATGTTGCCTTATCATGTAGGATATTTCAGCAACCTTCCACCATCTTTCTGTCATATTTGCCCCTGTGAGTGCATTCTTTACACTCTTTAATAAATGTGCTCGATTTTACCGACTACATTATGCAGGCTTTGCGCTGCGTCTTTTCTTTCCCATTAGCTACTATATTTCTGACTGATTGTAGTTAAGAGAGTGGTATGAATTTATATATTTTGCCAGTTTTATAGCCCTGTAGATATTATATGTTGTGCAAACTTTAGAAGAAAACAGTAATTATTTTAAGATAATGATGATATATTGGCCCGTACAAGTTCCTAAAGTTAAATACAATCTTGGAAACCACTATTTTGTGTAGCATTTTGAATACAAAATCAAGCAACTATATAGAGATGTACCATTATAATGTGTAAACATATCTACATATGATTTCTTAGCATACAGTAGGTACCCCTTTAATGGTGATTTTGATTTTTATGTACGCTTACAGGCGTGAGAGCTGGAAATTGGTTTAATTACATTACTTGAAGGTTGCCAGTATTTTGCATAATGGCTGTGGCTACCAAATGCCAGCATTTAGCATGTGTTGCTTCCATTATTTTTCCCTGCATGAATTAATTTTGCCTGTTTTTTCCGAGGTCAGAATTGCTTTCAGGGCTCAAATGCTGCCATTAACTTGCCAAAAGCACAATGTACATAATAACAGCGATAAACCTCTTGAACAAGCATGCGCATTGCCATGTTATAAGATTGGGTTTCTGTGCTGAAAAGCTGAAAGCTGTAGCTAATTTTCACAGTAGTGTGCTTGGAGCTAGAATAAACTGTAATGTAATTCACAAATTCTGTCACTGACAGATGACAAATCTTTTTCTAAATCTATGCTGCTGGGCTGTTTTTGTTATTAGGAGTAATACAGCACAGGCTATACACATCTTGCAGAAACACGTTTTACAATGCATTTGAAATGCAATGCCAAAGTAATTCAGTTCTCAGTCTTTTTTTAGGAAATCCACTCATGGTCTAGGCACGGGCATACATTTTGTTGCTCAACTCAAAATTTAACTAGGAACTGACCAATTGGCAAGTGAAGGTTTTATACTTACAAATTAGGCTCATTTGATATCCCCATATGAGGCAAATTCATACAATTCTGCAAAGAAGAATTAACTTTTTATAAGCTGCTTCTGTCCTGTACTGCTAGAAACAAATTATGTTATTTGAATTCCTTATCCATATCTGCTAAAATACATTTCTTTAAATACAAGCAGTGTAAGTTCCTAAATATGACCTAATATGCAGTCTCTTACTGCTGGTCCCTGCATGGTACATTACATACTACTGACCTTTGAACTCTGCGTTAAAAACTACTGACCTTTGAACTCTGTGTTACACACTATTGACACCTGCATTCTGTATTACTTGCTCCTGACCCATGCACACTTCATGTCTTACTCTTGACCCCTGCACTCTGCCTTACTTATTCCTGACTCTTGCTCGGTATATTAACATACTATTGTACTATACATCCTAATAAACTCTGTGTTACACACTACTGACTCTGCAATGTGTATTACACCAATGTTTCTCAACCTTTTTTCAGTCAAGGTACCCATTAAAATTATGGACAGTCCTGAGGCACCCTTTAGAATGATGGACAGTCTTAAGGCACCACATTCTAAAATGGGGTTCCTCAAGACTGTCCATAAATTTAAATGGGCACTCCATTCTAAAATGTGAAAAAAACTATTCTAATATTTTTATATAATGCTGCAACATCCACACATTTATGGCACCCATTAGAGGCGATTTATTCTTCCAAAGAAAATACACTTTTGCACACTGGTACTGAATAGTATTTCCATGTTTTTCTTCTCCCTCAGTTTTTCTCCATCACTGAGCTAATGTGACCCCAGCATTGATGGAGAGGGGCAGGGGTGGGTCAAACTAGGATGGTGTGCAGGCAACTGACATCCTCCTTATCAACTGATGATGACATTGGTTGTCAGGTTGCCGGCAGCTAGGAAGTTGTAACAATGCACATTGAAAACCTTTGGCTTTGTGTAACTAAAAGGCAGGTTTGTTCCACTCACTGGCTTGTATACAAGTTTTGGCCAATTTTTAGAAACGTTGCCACCCCCGAAGAAACCTCAAGTCACCCTGGTTGAGAAAGGCTGTATTACACACTACTGATCTCTGAACTCTGTGTTGCTCACCACTAACCCTTGCGCTCTGTGTTACTTGCTGCTGACCCCAATACATACTACTGTCCTCTGAATTCTGTGTTACTTGTGGGCCCTGCATTATGCATTAAATACTGCTGATTGCTCAGTGTTATTTACTCCTGGCCCCTGCAAAGTCCTGACTAAAATGTATACTTCCCTAACAGTCTGAACTGAGCCCAGCCAGACAGCCAAGCTGAATGCGGCCAGCCAGGCTAGAACTTAACATAGACATACAGGTTAGAACTCAAACCAATCAGTCAAACCATCAGGATGATATTCCGGGTGTGACGAAATGCATAGGGAAGGAATTTCCGGTCATGCTACTTCCACCGGTTGGAACGCATGCCAACACCAGGCTGCACAGAGTGACATCATTCCCACAGAAAGCTTTGGGCAGATAGGGCACCAAAATATTTTTCTAGCTTCCTCTTTATTTACATGAAATACCTGGCTATAAGGAGAAGGATACTATACACAGTGGCACTGTGTAAAAGCATATATTGACCTTTCCTTGGTGTATACTTAGGGGGTCAACAACCTCTGGTGAGTTTGCATAAGATTGGAGGAGAGGAGTTAATTTGCACAGAGGAGCTTGGTCCATTTTATTTGGAAGAAGATTTATGGCACATATGTTTGCACTTTAATGTGGCACTGTTATTGCACTGGTACTTTCATTTTGAATTTACAGACACTTTAAAAGATATTTGAATTTTAATTGTTTTTATGATTCATTTATTGTTGTTGGGATTTGCACTAAAATCATAACTCGTTTAGGGTGAGCACAGCCTTTTGATTATGAACATACAGTATATGCAGCACCTGGGCAAGTTGGCTATAATACTGAGTGGCTGTATACGTGCATCCATGGGGAATTGCTTTGCTATGCTGAAAGCACTCTCCCTGCATGCTCTCAACACGGTTACTAAGATGTCACTGGCAGCTCCCAATGCATTCTTCTGATTAGGAGCTTCTGATCATGTGACTGCTGTGTCATCCAATCATAGTGGTCACAAGATTTTAAAACCCGCCTCCATTTCCTGGCATTTAGGTCCTCCTAAAGACAAGACATGAAAGTGGAACGTCACCTAAAATAGGAAGAGCCAGCTCTTCCTCCTCCTCCCCCTTCCTCTAGTTTGGCACTTTTTTTTTTACAGGTCCCCCCACCCACTTTTTCTTGGATCGCCTAGGTAAGTCCTTTCCTCACTCCCTTCCCGCAGTCCTCTGGGACACGTCACAGGTTCCAAAAGGCTGCAGGACCATTCACAAAGCACATTGCAGCTGCCTGTGAAGCTACAAGTGTTCACAGCTGGGTGCCTACTGCCAGCGCTGGTGACCAAAAAGCGGTGAAGAAACCTGCTTGGGTGAGCATGGTGCTGGATTCTGGGACAGGTGAGTGGCTGTTTATTAAAAGTCAGCAGCTACAGTTTTTGCAGCTGCTGACTTTTAATATTTCAACGACTTTCTGAAAAAAACATTTTAATGTCACTACACTGTATCCCACCAAGGTAATCCACAAAGGGGGCTTCAACTACACAACAATTTCAGTACTTTTATTATATCCATAAAAGCATAGCACAACCTTAACAAATCCTCTATATAAAATATGCTGACTTTTTATGCAACATTTCTTTCTCAAACGTCACCATTTCTTATATAGAGGGATTTGAATTTTGTGCTGCACTTTCATGAATAACATAACAGAGCTTTTCTTTTTTTTAAATTACTGTGTGGAAGTGGA